ATTATATTTTATATTTAAAACTCAGCATACCCCCTTTATCTCAACACCCTGCAAATCACTTACATGTTATAAACACAAATGTAATATGTTCTGTCTACTATTATAACATGAAAAGTGAAATTGATCATTAATACTAAATTTCTTTAATTTTTTTTCAAATAAACCACAGAGCAAGAATTTTGCGTTTGTTAAATCGATACTTTTTTGGTTCTTTGTATGGATTTCAATAAAAGTCACGAACTGAACATGCGACAAACTAATGTTCTTTTTACTCTAATATTCCTTTCCGAAACATTCACGTTCTTCGGGGAGGCATAAAAAACAACACTTTTATCTTTGTCTGTTCTCTCAGCCTTTTATGTCCGTGTGACAGCTGGAATGAAATGCGATAATGTTCCGATGATCATTAGCTCGGAAGGTCGACGCATCGACATGATTCCTTTTTTATTGGCGTATTTTTTCCGGAGGAATGGTCGATTAACCCCAGATTAAATCTTCGACAGGATGCACTTCTAGGCAATAAGAATCGTGTTTCGATTCATATGTGCATGTCATAAATTTTGTTTTTATTATAATATTACCGCTTTATAAAAGGATAAAGATAATATAAAATAGGGTTTAGGTTATACCCCGACATTATTAAATGTATTAATATACATATTTTGGTAACTTATTGTAAGGTATACAATATAACAGAGTTGGCGTTGAGATCAGACTAATAAAAGAGCTTTGAGAGAGATTTACACGAGCAATAGATTGGAACAGAGATATATTTGAAAATGAGTGCTGAAACTATATCATACAATTATTATCCTTTTTTGCTTAGGTATTTTGTTCTGTGTGTTTTTTATGTGTTGTATTAATAAAGTTATATACTCATTTGAAAATCATTATTTATTTATTAGTCTGATGAAAACTAAAATCGGACATGGAAACGTAAGTTTAATAACTTTATTTGTTAGTAAATAGTAATTTTTATTTAGTTTATTATACTTAGGTTTTAAAAACAGAAATTGATCTACATGTAAAATAGTTTAATGAAACATTGTTCTTATCCAAATGTTGACTGATTCTCATCACTGATTCATCATATATCTATTAAAAGCTCATTGATCAACAACTCGAGGGCTACCACAATGGATATCATAATTCTGAACTGGACCAAGTGGCCTCGAAACATCAGATAAAACATGAAGGAGGGGTGTTGGAAAGCTAAAATCTTATTTTTTTTGACAATTTGAGATTTTTACATTTTCAAATTGTATAGATTTTAACCTTTTTAAAAATACCTTACTTGAACCTCGCTCTTAAAACGTATTTTTAAATAATCGAATTGAATTTGGGCCACGCCCATTTTAATGGCGAAAATTTTAAACAAATTACTTTGTTTTTGCTTAATAGTGTAACGAATGATATGAATCAAAATTATGTATCTTTTATTTTAAATTGAGCCTTTTATTTTTTTATTTCGATTAGAAGTCTCACTGTATACTTTAAAATCAATTTATCTCAAAATGTAAATTTTAATGTGCGATGTACCTTTTCTGAGAAACTACTGTTCACAGGTATGTAAATTTTTTATGAATTATTTGTAATGATGTCTAATATATACTAAAAATGAGCTTTTTTTAAATCACTCAAAAATTTAATTTTTACAAATTTTTTAAGTAAAAATGGGTCAAATTTCACAATGTTTGATAAAATATTTCTTAAAAATTCAAAATTATCATTTTAGTATAAAATGTACTTTAATAGTATGAAAAATTTGCATATACATAAAACAGATTTTGAGAAAAGGTACATCGAACAGCCAATTTAACATCGTCAGTATAGAGAGTTTTCAACATTGAAATACTAAGACTAAACGAAAACGAATTAACACTCTGAACCAGAAGAAAAGATTGAAGATTACGATCATGTAAAAGAATTTTCGTTAAAGTTGTAAAAATTAACTCCAGAAAAAATTCTGCAAGTTATTTGCTTTGCATGAGAAAACATTTGATCATACTGAAAAAGATTATTATCGTGAAATGAAGGCGGTTCTTTGAAAATATTGTATAATAAAAGAAAAAGATTGACTTTTATATCGTGATATCGTTTCCTAAATAGTTAGGAAGAAGCTCCGAGAATTGTAAGCGACCTTCAAGAGTTTCATAGGAACGATCTAAATTTCTTGAACAACCTTTCCCAAATTATCTCGACATAAACATTGAAACATAGATAGTAGCAAAATGGTTAAGAATGAAATGTGTAGGAGATGAAACTCTAATTAGTTTCGGCAACAAAATTCACTAAGAGATGCTATAAATTCGACGATGTTTGTTACATCAGACCTCAAGATCCCTAAATATTTTTAAAAAATTATCAATTATGTGAGAAAAGAAAATCAACGTAAACGAGAAAATATTAGGCACACATGTTATCAAAACTATTAAGAGAACAACTAATTTTATCTGGGAATCTCAAAAAAAAGTTTCTTTAATTGTAATGCGTTATACACGATACTAACTATTTTTGACATCTCATTTAGTATGAACGACACATTTAGTTAAATGGTTATTGAAGCAGACATTTTTGGCTTAAGCCTCATTGAATTTCCTCAACTTAAAAGACAATTTTGAAACTATGAAGCAAAGACGTGGTAATTTCAGATATTTGAATCAAATTTAGACGACGATATAGAAATGGGTCACATCTGTGACTCATCAACGAAAGTTAGTAGACTAAGCTTAAAGAAATTAGCTATGCATGCGAACTAGATAAAACTAAAATTGAAGACAGTTCGAAGGGAATTTAATCGTTTTAAGACGCGTTTCCATCGTCTTATTTACTTCTTGATTCTCTGTTTTTCAAGCAATTGATAATAAGGCTCCTATAATTTTTACAAGAGGTTGTAATGCGAAATTCTGCTGAGTACGCTAAATCTGTTGTATTAATGAAGAATTGTAAGATGACATATTCTAAAAATTACACCAGAAGTGTAACAGGAAATTATTGGAAACTTGATGGAAAACTTTTAAATAAAAACATCTTTAACCCGTATTTCCATAACTTTTAATATTCGCTTAAATTTGTAATTTTTCTTTTTTTATATTTAAATTAATAAGTTGAATTAGTAGGGGAAAAAACAGAACTGTGATTTCTTTAGAAACATATCATTGAAACAGATAAACTCTTTTATTTTGTCTCTTTGTGAGATTTATAATGAAAAAAGTTGAATCTAACAATAATAACACTTCCAACTTATTAAACCAGAAAATAACATATTTGAAGTCGAAATGAAAATAATACCTACAATCAACACACTAGCTTTTCTTTCTTTGTTCTTCAATGTAGTTATTTATTTGAAGAATATTTGTATCATCATTTTTTTTATAATTATAGCTTCCAGTGTTTCGATATTCCTTCCTTTTCTCAGCTGTAAACAAATAAAAAAATTATCCGGATAGCTCTAAAATTTTTGCTTACGAAATCGTTCGAAAATTACCCATTACAACAATCATTCTAAATTACTTGTTACAGAAATCTTTTGAAATTATTTGTTCCCTGATAAATTAAATGAGTATGTGTTTGTTTCATTATTTTTTACAAATACTTAACCCTCTGACCAGAATATCCGTCTCTCAGACGAGGATGATTTGCTTTGATGCCTGTAAATAACGCTTTGGTGTGATTTTTGGGGTGGGCTGCCTTGACATCTTCAGTTGGACTCTATTCAATGAGAGGATCACGTGGTGGTACATGGCGATTTTTTTCAACTTAAATATGCGCGATTTGGTCTATCACACGGATATTCCTATAGTTTTTTCGTGTTTGGTATTATTATTTTTAATTACTTTCGCATGAATATAAGTAATTTTTAATCAGTTTTTATAAAAATACTAGTCACAATTCTAGTGATAAAAATATATTGTTGTGCGTGATTTAACCCCACACATCTTATTTGAGCCATACTCAATTTCTTGATCTATGAGGACATTTAAAACAGTCCTTAAGGTAATAAAATTCAACAAAAAAAATTACGTACCCGTCCGTAAGATGGATACTTCTCAGTGCGGAAAAAAAATTGATGTTCCGGTCAGACGGTTAATTATTTGTATTTAAATATGTTCCTTTGAATTTTTTTCTGAAGCTTTAATTTAATTTTCCTACATATATTTTTTTTTTTTTCTAATTAAAAAGCGTACTTATTCAGCTTCTTTTTAAAAAAACATGTATTGTGTATTTGCATTCTAGACGAATGTAAGCTCTACATCTTTTTAAAAGTGATCGCAGGATGAGCAGTATGTAATTAGCTAAATTTATTTCTTTCACTGCTTTAGCAATTCTTTTGGCCCCTTACAATTATATTTTAGATTTGTCCAAAAAAGCAATTAGAAGGTAAATTCATTGATTAAGCTTAATTCATTTATTGCTTAATTCATTGAAACTTAATTCATTTATTGCTTAATTCATTGAAGCTTAATTCATTTATTGCTTAATTCATTGAAGCAGCGTTTCTTAAACCGTGGTCCAAGGACACCCGTGGGTGCCCAGCGCTTTACTATGGAGCCCGCGCAGGTCTCTCATCTAATGTTACTTTCCTATTTTACGGTCTCTGAAAAAAACCTAGTGAAAAAATTGAAAGATGTACCAATTCAAGATTGAAAGATGTGTTAAGATCACTGAATTGTCCCCAATGAAAAACTCGACTAGAACATGTATTTCGATAGAGACGGTCGATGTTTACGGATTTCTTAACGAAAAAATAAGTGTTAACAAGTAATATAAAAAAGATTTTTTTTAGTCAATTCGTACTTAGTTCAACAAAGAAAAATGTTATTTTAGTTACTTTTTATTAAATAATTACAATTAATATAAATATGTAAATACACATAACAGAATCACAATATTAAGTAGCTAAGTAGAAAGCGATTTTCCTTCCTATACATGCGATGTTGAACTATTATTTTTTTTGTTACTACTTATTTATTCATAAATCACATCATCAGAAATTAGGTCATCGCAGGTAGAATTCGAATCCACGACTTTTGGATTCGAACCACGACTTTTGGTCCAACGCGCTATCCATTGCGCTACAGGGACACAACGAGAAATTTTCCTTTTTATATATGGCTTTGGATTATTAATTTTGTGTATTTGCTACTATTTATTCATTAATTAAGCTTAACTAATGAATTAATATTTTAAAAAACTATATTAATATCAAGGGCCATCCACTACAAGTTTTAAATATGTATTTGAACTTGAATGGATGAATAGAAAGTATTTCATTAAGCATTGAAAATTTGAGCAAGATATAGACAACGGTGATTATAATTAAAGTTCCAAAACGTTATTAAAGAAAAGAATCACTGATTAGAATGACATCAAACTGGAACGGAATATTATTGAAAAAGCGGGAAAGCGTATGGCATAAGGAAAAAAATAATTTGGAAAATGTATCAACAGATGGCGCTGTGTCAGAATATGTAAATGAAAATAATTGTCTTGAGCCTGACTCATTTAAATTGTTATAAAAACGTCGGGTGCACGATTTTTCTTCATTTCACGTCTGAGAATTTTGCCAGAATTTTTTATTCTTTTTCACAAAAATAACGACTGTGCACCAAAGCTCTGCGAAAGTTCCGAACACTGAAGGGTGTGGAAAAAGGCGTTCGTCCGGTGACTGCAAAGGGCCTGGAGAAAATAATTCGAAAATTGGAGAAGAGACAGATTCTTTTCTTGTGCAATCTGGTACATGGAGGAAAAGATTTAATTCGATGGTAGTTGAAGAAGTGGCTACAGTAGTGCAGGAAGAGTCGAGCGATGGTTTGAAACCATATTGTTCTCGGGAAATTGCCCGAACACTGGAAAGGCCTGTGAGGACGGTACATAAAATTCTACAAAACATCCTTCATTGCTTACCGTACAAAATTAGCCATGTGCAGGAGTTGTCTACTTCTGACCTACCAGCAGGAGAGACTTTTTCCTTAGAATTTCTTGCTCGCATGGAAGTGGACAATGAATCTGCGTGGAATATTTTGTGGTCGCATGAAGCCCATTTCCATCTGACAGGATATGTCAATACACAGAATTACCGAATATCGGCAACAAGGAATCCATTCGAAACCCAACCAGTACCACTTCATTTTGCAAAGGTCACTGTGTGGTGCGGGTTTACGGTATCATTTAACACATAGAGGCATACTTTTCAAAGAAGACGGGTGTTTTTGGTCTTGTTACCATTACCGTCCTAGTGAGCGCTATCTTTTGCACAACCACGTCATTCTAGATCTTCAACAGCGTAGTTGTGAGGATGGGATAATTTTTCTGCAAAAGGGTACTCCTCCGCACATTGCAAATTCATTGAAACAGCTGCTAAAGGGTTATTATGGAAATGTTAGAGTTATATATCAAACGCCATTTCCTTACAGAGAGCCTTCCCCTTTCCCTATCACCTTATCTTAATCCGTGTGACTTCTGGTTATGGGGCTATCTGAAAGATGTTAAGTTCAGTGCACCGATTGCACACTTAGCTGAATTGAAGTGACGCATTACGCAACACATTCTGAATGTGACCACGGAGATATTTCAATCAGTTGTGGAGCATGCTGTTTCTCGATTTAAACTTGTTTCAGACAACTGTGAACAGAATATTGAACATATTTTGCGCCAGTCTCACAAAATTTAAAAACCGATTTGATGGACGATTTTCATGCGGTTTTTGGCCCCGGGTCAAATAAAAACCAATTTTCCCCATACGATGGGATTGGACTTGCCGTGGTGCGTAAGCTTACGTAACTAACAGTATCACACCTCAACAGTCATACACACTGAAAAGCACACTTGGTTTAACGTTTTATTGGTTTATATATATATATATATATATATATATATATATATATATATATATATATATATATATATATATATATATGTAGGGTTGGTATGTGCAATGGACATCTCCCCCTGTACTTAGGGTGGAGCAGTCCACACTGACGTCACACCCCGTCAGGAATGCCCGACTAAAACGAGACACGGGAAAATAGGCAGACGGACGTTAGTGACGCTAAGCTTTAGACGTAGGAGAAAGACGTTCTCCTTTGCTGTTCAATATAATAATCTAGATCTTTCTCATCTTGTTAAATAAATCATTTATCATCCTTAGGTTGTAGTCATTTTTCCCATATTTGGGGGCTCGACCTTTCTCTTGCATATTAAGGAAAATCTCCTCTAGACGAGAGAAAATTTTTAAGACGCGTTAATATTTTTCTTCAGTGGACGCTACATTGCAAAAAGCGTAAAAACGTGTTGCTGTTGGAATTTCTTTTTCTTGGATTCACTTAGTGCCTCAACTGGTTTTGGATTTATTGTACGGACTGCTCCCCAACCCCAGGTAGGCAAAATTTAATTAAACGTATTTTTGTTTGTTTATTTTGGCTTTAAAATAACTGTATTTAGTAGTTTTAACTCAGAGTGTGATAGGAAATTTTGATTACAACCTTGCACCGTCTATAAATTTTCAAAGTGATTAATTTTTGTACATTAAGATGTCCTGTAAAAATATTAAAATAGGCGATATTCCTATAATTGCAAATTCATTGAAATGTGGTACAACTCGTGTTGTAAAAACATTAAATTCTATATTAGGATTCACCGAATTTGACCGTTCTTCGCGAAATAAAATAAGAAATTTTCTACATTCCCTAAAGAGTTTAGGAGTTGAAGAACACAAAGAAAAATTTTAACCGAATTCTCATTACCTGATTTTATCTCAGTCGCTAATTTATTACATTTAGACGTAGAAACAAATGAGCAAAATTTATGCAATAGTATATTTAAAGCTTTGACGAACTTAGATGAGTTCCAACTAACATTAAATAATTCGGAGACATCCTTTTCTGAAGGCGAAAACGTAGTTTCAAAACCACGTTTCAAAAAGAAACACGTTAGATTTGGAATTTTTCATCGGAAAGGACAGACCAGCACTCCGCGTTTCAGGAACATCCAGTCAGCAATTCTCCCCTGCCCAGCGTTCAAGGTCATTCTTTCATGCCAGCACATCAAAACGTTTTATCTCTTTTACACAAAATACTTTTTCTCCCTATTCAAACGAAGCTTCCCTTACAGAGATGAATACCCAGTTTTGGACTTTATTGCGGGATATTTCGGCGACTAGTAGAAAATTTACCGGGGAAGATTTTTATTCTGTAAATAGTTTCTTTCGCGATGTTGAAGAAAATTTTGAATTATTCCCAGCTATCAGTTCTTCTCAAAAATTAATTTTCGCGAAACGTCTAGTATGTGGAACTGCTAAATCATTTCTTTTTTCACAAAGAAATTTAAATACATACGAGTCATTCAAAAAAGCTTTAATTGAAGAATTTTCGGATTCAGTAACCTCCATAGAAATTCATCGCGAATTAGAAAAAAGAAAAATGTATAAAACCGAGACTTTAATGCAATATTTTAATTCCATGCGTGAATTAGCAAATAGATGTGATTCAAAAATTGACGAAGCATCAATTATCCAGTACGTAATTAATGGAATTGATGGGCCTCGTTCAGATAAAATAATCCTCTATGGTGCAACCTCATTTTCCGAATTTAAGCAGAAATTACGTACCTATGAAACTGTCATTAAAAACATGGGAATACATAACTCTAATTCACCGAATTTTCGTCATTCATATGAAAGCCGAGGACGCGAATTTAATCAACAAAGCTTCCAACGAAAACCTACAAGATTTAACGTTTCTGACGCAGCTAAAAATCCCCAACGTTGTTTTAATTCTAATGATATAGGTCATCTATCAAAATCTTGTCCTAATCATTCACGTGGCCCCAGATGCCTCTCATGTAATCTTTATGGTCACAAATCATTTGAATGCCGACGAGCTAATTTAAATAACACTTCTACACCACCTTCTGGTGTAAATGCTGTGCATGAATTGCCTTCTCCTATTAATATGTGTAAAGACGTAACAATTTTTGGGCATAAACTTAACGGGTTAGTAGACACAGGCAGCAATTTAACACTATTAAGAAATTCTACTTACATAAATATAGATGCACCGCCACTGAAACAAACCAATACATTATTAACAGGTTTTGGTTTTTCGCGAATTAATGTGATAGGAACTTTTGATTATGAAATTACTATCGATGATCAAATTTTTCCTGTTACTATTTCTGTTGTACCAAATTATTGTACAAATTATGACTTTATAATCGGTTGTGACGTAATTAAACAAGCACATCTAAATGTATCGCCTACAGGCGTAAAATTTGCACAAATTTTAAAGCCCTCTGATAAAGCAAATGAAAATTTTATTATGACGATTTCTGACGGTTCACCCACATTTGATATCGGTTCAAATGTTTCTCAACATAATCGAGCTGAAGTCGAACAACTGCTATCGACATACACGCCTAAAAAAAAAAAACTGTAAACATTGAGCTTGACATCGCTCTCACCGACGACGAACCGATATTTCATAAGCCCCGACGTTTGCCATTTGCTGAACGAGATATAGTGGACGCTCAAGTTGATGAATGGGTTAAAAATGGAATTGTTGAGTCGTGTTCATCCCCTTACGCTAGTCAAGTTGTGGCAGTAAAGAAAAACGGGAAATCAAGAGTTTGCATTGATTATAGACGCTTAAATCGCAAACTTATTAAAGATAACTATCCTCTTCCTTTAATTGACGATGTTTTAGATTGTCTCCAAAATGCTAAAATATTTACTACTCTAGATCTAAAAAATGGATTTTTCCATGTCGCGGTAAATGAAAGGAGCCGTAAATTTACTAGTTTTGTTACTCACAATGGTCAGTATCAATTTAGACGAATGCCTTTTGGACTGAGTACTTGTCCTTCCACCTTTATGCGGTACATAAATGCCATTTTCCGACATCTGATTTCGAAAAGTATTGTTCTCCCATATATGGATGATGTCGTTATTCCTGCTGCTAATGAGTCCCAAGCCCTTGAATATCTAAAAATTGTTCTACAGGTAGCTTGTGATTACAGACTTGAAATAAATTTTAAAAAATGTCAATTTTTACATAATAAAATTGAGTTTCTTGGCCATATTATAGAAA